GTTTTGGAAGAAGTGCAGCCAGAGTGCTCCTTGGAGGCCAAGATGCTAGACTTTGTCTCTCATACTTCGGACATATTGTCAGGAGGGAACAGTTGCTAGAGAAGGATATCATGTTTGGTAAGATGGAGGGTCAGAGAAAAAGAGCAAGATCCCTAATGAGATGGATTGGCCAGGTGGCAGCATTGATGGACTTAAGTGTGGCAATGGTAGTAAAGTTGGCCCAGGATCAGACATTGTTTCGTTCTGCTATACATGGGGTCGCTATGAGTTTATTCCGACTCCATGGCACATGACAACAACAACAACATAGTATGGGAGTTCTGGTGTGGTGCCATAGAATGAGCACTAGACCACAAGGTCGGTTTGAACCTCAGGTCAGTGACTCAAACTCACCCACCACTCCTTGGAAACTCTATACAAGTTTGCTATGAGTTGAAATTGACACAAAGGCACTTAACAACAAAACCATATATAAGAATATACTATAAATATTTAAATTAAGCATATTTATAAATAAATATTAGAAATAATGTTGAGAACAAAATTTAATGATTTTTATATCTAAGACATCGATTACTATAGCGATTCTTAATAAACATTAATTGTATGGTATTTTATATTATTACTGTTGTTGTCAGGTGCCACTAAGTCAGATCCAGTTCACAGTGACTCTGTATGTACAACAGAACAAAACACGGGCAGGCCCTTCACCATCTTGAGAAGTACTACTAAGTTTGAGCCCATTGTGCTATAAGGGTCTTCCTCTTTTTCAATAACCCTCTACTTTACCTAGTCTGATGTCATTTTCCTAGGACTGATCTGTTCTTGATAAGATATTCTAAGTACATCAGATGACATCTCACCATCCTCACTTCTCAAGAGCAGTCTAGCTAGACAAGGGGACTTCCAAATTTTGTGGAAAATGTAATTGAAAGATAATTAAATTCTTTCATGAAGTCTCTGAAACACTCTCATACTTCTTCCAAGAGATTTCATCATTCTGCTGGCAATGCATGGTATTTTCAATATTCTTCACCAATACCACAAGGCAAAGGCATCCATTCTTGGGTCTTCCTTATTCATTGACCAGCATTCACATGCATACGAAATGACTAAAATATCAAATGCAATAAATCGTTTGATTTCTTCACTGCTGCTTCCATGGGCTTTGATTGAGGATGCAAGGAAAATGAAGCTCTTGAAAACTTTAATCTTTTCTCTGTTTATCAAGATGTGGCTTATTGGTATAGTTGTGTGGAATATTGCTTTATGTTGAGGTAAAATCCATATTGAAGGCTGTAGACTGACCTTCATCAGTAAGTGCTTTCAGTCGTAATTTTTATCCATCAAGGTTGTGTCACCTGCATATCACAAGTTGTTAATGAGTCTTCCTCCAATTCTCATGCCATGGTTCTTTTTAATATAATCCAGCTTCTTAGATTTTTCATCCAGCATACAGATTACTTAAGAACAGTGAAAGGATACAACCCTGAGGCATTACCTGAATTTAAACCATTCAGTATCCCCTTGTTCTATCTGAACAAACGGCTCTTGGTCTATGTACATGTTTCCACGAGCACAATTAAGTGTTTTGGAATTTCATTTCTCCCCAATGTTATTCATAGTTTACTATGATCCTTTGCATAATCAATAAAACATAATTAAATACCTTCCTATGGAATCCTGGTGTGATGCTATAAGATAAGCACTAGACTGGTAAACCTAAGTTTGGTGGTTTAAAACCACCAACCGCTCCTTGGAAACCCTATACAGGTTTCTGTGAGTCAGAACCAACTCAATGGTAATTAACAACAACAACAGCTATCTTCCTGTTAAACTCTGCTTTTAACCAAGATCCTTCTGACATCAACAATGATACCAATCATTCCATGTCCTCTTCTAAATTTGACATGAACTTCTGGCAGTTCGGTGTCAATGCACTGCTGCAGCAGTTTTTAATTATCCTCAGCAAAATTTTAGTTATGTACAATATTAATGATACTATTTGATCATTTATGCATTCTGTTGGATCATCTTTCTTTAGAATGAGCACAAATATGGACCTCTTCCAGTCCATTAGTCAGGTAGCTATGTTCAAACTTTCTTGGCAAAGATGAGTAAGCAACATCAGTGCTGCAACCATTTGTTACAACATATTGGTATTCCATCAATTTCTGAAGCTTTGTTGATCACTAATGCCTTCAAAGCATCTTGGACTTCTTCCTTCAATATCATCAGTTCTTGATCATATGATAACTGTTGGTTGGACCTCGACCAATTGTGATTGGTACAGAGACTCTGTATATTCCTTCCCATCTTCTTTCGATTCTTTTCATCTTTCTGCTTCGTTCAATATTTTGTCCACAGAATGCTTCTATATAGCAACTCAAGTCTTGAATTTTTATTTCAGTCCTTTCAGTTTGAGAAATGCTAAACATGTTCTTCCATTTTTGTTTTCTAACACTAGGTCTTTACACAGTTCATTATAATATTTTCTGTTTGAAATCTGCTCAGCTCTATCTTAGTTATCTAGTGTTAATGTTAAAAGAGGAGTAGTGGTGTGGCACTGTGAGTTAATATGCTGGACTGCAAAGTCAGTTTGAACCATAATGTTGGCAGTTCAAGCTCAACGACCACTCCTTGGAAACCCAATACAGAGTTGCTGTGGGTCAAAACCAACTCGAAGGCACTTAACAACAACAACAATATTAAAAGAAATACTACAAGTAGAGGGCTTTAACAAACATAAATTTATTCTCTCAAAGTTTGAGAGGTTAGAAGTCCAAATTCAGAGCACAGGTTCTGGAAAAGGGTCCTTGCCGCCTTTCACCATCTGTAGATTCCTTGGACATCTCCATGTGTCCTGGCGTCAGACTTTCTCTGAATCTAGGAGCTTCACAGTGTGGCGACTCCAGCGCCAAAGAACACACTCCACTCCCTGTACACTTTTCTTAGTAGTAGGAGGTCCCTCTCTCTCTGTTCACTTCTCTCTCCTTTTATATCTCAAAAGAGATTAACGCAAGATACAATCTACTTTCTGTAGGTTGCATTGGGACCTCTTAACATCATTTGTTGTTATTAAGTGCTGTCGAGTGGGTTCTGACTCATGGTGACCCTGTACAGGGTTTCCAAGGAACAGCTGGTGGGTCTAAACTAAAGACACTGTGGTTCACAGTCCAGTGCTGATCCTACAGCACCACACCAGGAGTTCCATTAACATGAAACAAGTGAGGAGTTGCAACACATAAGATAATTAGACTAGAGCTGATCACATCAGGTCACTTCATGGGGTGATCTCATCATGGAGGTGATAACTACATCTTCACTGATAAACCACTGAGGAAGCTGGCCCAGCCAAGTTGACACAAAATCTTAACTGTCACGAGCTCTTTTACTTCACCATTTCTTCCTTTCACTTAGCTTCTCTACGTTCAATAGCAAGTTTAGAAAAATTTTCTGACATTCATGTGGTCTTTCCTTTCTTTTAAATGACCTTTTGCTTTTAAAGGCATCCCACAACTCATCTGGTCTTTGGTCATTAGTGTTCAGTGTATGAAATCCAGTCTTGAAATGATCTCTAAATTCAGGTGGGATATACTCAAGGTCATGCTTTGGCTTTCATGAATTTGTTTTCATTTTCTTAAGCTTTTACTTGAACTTGCATATGAACAACAGATGGTTTATTCTGAAGTCAGCCCTAGTCTTGCGCTGACTGATGATACTGAGCTTTATCCCATCTTTTCCACAGATGTAATCTATTTGATTCCTTTGTACTCTATCTGGTGAAGCCCACAGGTATAGCCCCTGTTTATGTTATTTTTAAAAAGATATTTCCAATGAGTAGGCCATTGTTCTTATAAAATTCTACCATGCAATATGTGAGGTCATTTCTCCCACCACAGCTGTATTTTTCAAAAAGCATTCTCTTCTTTGTTTCTATCTTCATATTCCAATCACCAGAAATGAGAATTGCCTCTTGAGTGAATGTTTGTTTAATTGCAACTGTAGATGTTGGTTAAAATCTGCAATTCCTTAAACATGTTTATGTTATAGTTCATAAAACAAATACCTTTACTTATCTCACTTTCAATAATTACCTTTAATGGTTTCCTCCACAACTTCTACCACACGATCTATCTGCTGAACCTAAAAATGAGAAAAAACCTCTTAGACAAACAATGTATAAACAAGAAAAATCAGATTTGTTTATTCTTATGTTTGAATCAGTGGTACACAAGTCCTAAAAGGGATCCTGGTGGTGCAATGGTTCAATTCTGTAGCTGGTAACCAAATGTTTGTTGGCAGTTCAAATCTATCAGCCACTCCATGGGAGAAAGATGTGGCAGTCTGCTTCCAAAAAAATTTGCTCCCTTGGAAAATCTATGGGGCAACTGACACTATGGGGCACTACTGGCTGAATTTCTTTTTAAGCACATGACTGCAAATTGTCAATAATTAATTTATTTGGACATTATTAGAAATTCTTATATTCATGTTTTGCATTACAATGAAGTATGGAATTAACACCCTTCTACTGTTCAGTGGGAGCCCTGGTGTGGCGCTGTAGGCTAATGTGTCAGACTGCAAATGCAAAGTCATCTGAACTGCAAGATCAGTGGTTCAAGATCACCAGCTGTACCTTGGAAACCCTATATGCGTTGCTATGGGTCGGAATTGACTCGATGGCACTTAACAACATAACAACAACATTCCTCAGTGATAATTGAAGCAATCTCACTGCATTCAAATAAATATCCTGTTGTTCTATTAGGTAGTCTGTCAACATAAACACACACATCCTGAAACATAAGCTTAAGTTTAATTAAAACATGTTTCTTCAAAGCTTCAAGAAAAGAGAAAAAATGACACAAAATTATAACCAACAGAAATGGACAAACTAGAATTAGGGCGATCCACCTCAAATTCTGTGTTTTATTATTTTAATATTCAGAACCATTTTAATGAATTTCTACCATATGCTGAGAACTGTGCTCAGTTACAAGGGATACAAAGTCAAATAAAATAGCTCCTTCCCTAGAGACCAATGATTAAGGAAGAAAGATTTCCCAAGGTATCATATGTAGGAACACAGAGGAAAAGTAATAAAATCAGACTTAAGGGTCTAGAAATACTTCCCAGTGAACCAAAGGTGAGTCTTGAGGGATAAACAGAATTGACATATAAGGACCCCACTAAGAAGACTGAGTAAAAGTGGTTAGAGTTTAGAAGGAAAACTCAAAAAGCAAAGAGTATTGTCCAAGTTCAAGGAAGAGAGAAAGCCAAATAGGAATCGATCAAAAGTATGACTTCTCAAATCAATCATTGCTTAACTAAACAAGAAATACAAGTTCACAGATATTTCAAAATAAAAATACAGAAAGAAATAGTTCAAGTAGCCCATAGCATGCTCCATCCTCCATTCCCATTCCTCAGATGAAACAACTTCACTCCAGAGCGTACATTCTAAGACAGTTTCTGGTGCTAAGACATTTTAGATTTCTACACTTTAGTTTTCCTTGTTTCTTATGTACATATACAAATGTGTACAGTCCTAGTGTGATGCTGTAGGAGAACCACTGGACTGCTAACCATAAGTTCAGGGGTTCAAACCCACCAGCCGCTCCTTGGAAACCCTATACAGGGTCACTATGAGTCAGAATGGACTCCACGGCAAATATACAAATATGTATGTGTATGGCTGTGCATGGTTGAGTATGTATGCATGTTTAATTTAAAAGATTTACCACCTGACTTTTTTTCTATACACTGTGAGTATATATTGGTATACTTCATTGTTTTTAATAATGGTCCAGGACTCCTGGTGTAGTGATGTAGGTTCAGCACTGGACTGTGAACCACAAGGTTGGAAGTTCAAACCCACCAGCTGCTCCTTGTAAACCCTGTATAGTGTCACTATGAGTCGGAACAGACTCAACGGCACTTAACAACAAGTGGCTCACGGGGAACACAGTATCTCTATAAAGCAAGCACTGGACTGCAAACCTCAAGGTCGGAGGGTCAAGCCCACCACCAGATACTACTCAGGAGCTCAAGAGAAGGCTTTCTGCTTCCTTAAAAATATTTACAGCCTCTTAGAGCCCACATGAAATAGACACAGATGAAGATTCCAGAACTCTGTACTTCAGAAGACAAGTTAAGCAGTGGATGGTGTGCTTGCTGGGAGAAGCTGAGCAGGGACAGAGAAAGAGGGAGACTGACTGGTGAATGGCTGGCCAGCCATGTCTTGACCATCTTGTGAGAAGCTACAGCAGTAGCAAGTCCCTGGCAGAGAAGGTCACACAGGCGATGGAAAAGCTCCATGTTCCTGTTCCTCTTCGTAGTTATTCTGAAGTGTTGGGAGGTTTTGTTTTAAATTTATTCCTTCTATTTTCTCACTTATTTTTCTCTTCTGTAGCTCCATTTCCACGTCCCTTTTTTGTTTTTATAATTATTATGTATTTTTTTTCTAGTTGCTGCCAGTTTTGTTTCATTTTTAACCTTCGTTTTTTTTTTTCTTTTCATTGTTGGTTCCTTGTTTATTCTATTTTACTTTCTTGCGTGAATGTGTGTGTGTGTGTGTGTGTGTGGTTTTTTTCTTTCCCATGCAACAGGAGACAGCAACTATGCCCAAACAGCCCAGCCACAAATGGATCCTCTGTAACTCCACCAAATGGGCAAGAGCCAATACCAGCCAATACTCCTAAATCACCTGATCAATGAGGTACATGAACTGAGGTGCGCAAACAGTGAACAAAAACAGGGGACATATTTCCATCTTCTAACTACCCTCAAAGGAGATAGTTGGTGAGAGCCTAAAACCACATCAGCATACAATCAGTACTTAAATATAAATAGGACAACCTCACAATGCTCCAGAGACAACGGACTATTTTATTTTAGCTCACATGAAGACACATGAGACGAGGGCTCAAACAAATGACTAAGATGCAGAGTCAGAAAACATTTCTGAGGAAGAAAAGGTAATGGAACTAACCGAAAGAGATCCCAAAAGAATGATATTAAGGTACCTTCAAAGGATTGAAAACGCAGTTGAGTAAAGCAAGGAGAACATAGAAAAAACTTTGGATGAATTCAGGAAAACAATCACAACCAACAAACAGACAAAATAAATACAAATTTTGAAACAATACAAAACCAGCCTTTAGAAATCCAGAAGATTAATGGTAAAATCTCAGGAACAGACAATACATTAAAAGGGCAAAAGAGTAGATCAGAGCCTGAATTAGTGAACTTGAAGATAAATCTCTCAATGTTAGATTGCTAGAACAATCAGAAAATAAGAATGAAAAAATGCAAACAAAGCCTACGAGTTATGTGGGACACCATAAAGAAGAACAGTATAGGAGATGAGAATTCCAGAACAGGAAGAAACAATAAATAGCACAGAGAAAACTGTCAGAGTTGTTGAAAGAAAACTTCCCTAACTTCATGAAACACAAGAAGATAAGCACACAAGAAGCTGTTGTTGTTAAGTACCATCAAGTTGATTCTGACCCTATAGCAACCCTGTACATGGTTTCCAAGGAGCAACTGGTGAGCTTGAACCACTGACCTTGTAGTTTAAATGACTTTGCAGTCTGACATATTAGCCCACAGAGCCACACTAGGACTCAAACCCCAAATATGATAGATCCCAAAAGAAAATCAACAAGACATATTATAATCCAACTTTCCAAAATCAAAGACAGAGAAAGAATCCGGAGAGCATCTCCAGAAAAATGGAAAGTTACCTACAAAGGAGGAACAATAAAACTAAGGTCTGATTTCTTAGCAGAAACCAAACAGGTAAGAAGGCAATGGGATGACATATACAAAATTCTGAAAGAACCAGATTGCCAGCCAACAATCATACACCAGTAAAGCTGCCCTCAAATAAGATGGTGAAATTAGGATATTTCCTGATAAACATAAATTAAAGGAATCTGTAATGACCAAAACAACTTTACAAAAAATGTTAAAGGGTGTTCTTTGGACTGAGAACCAACAACAGCAGAAAACAACCTGAGATTACCATACATGACAATACCACCTAGAACTCGATCCAGATATAGCAGTATTTAAAGTAAAACAAATCTTCAAGACTGAAAATGAGGAACCAGAGCTACACATTTATAATGAAATCAACTACAAAGCAAAGAGGGAATAGTGTAGACACAGAACTTCCAAATGGCAAGGAAGGCAAATAGATTTCAAGATAAAATAGACTTTTTAAACTAGGGGAAGAAAAGTTAATAAATATCAAGATAATACACCTGCACATCAAAATAAAAAAGAGGAAAATCAGATACACTTAGACAACATTAATACAACAGAAATGAAAATGAAAAGAAAACTCACAAAAAAAATGAACTCAGCATAAAAAATTATGTCGAAGAAAGAAACCATTGGCAACATACCCTCCCCCTGCCCAAAATCATAGAAAAATGACAACAGTCAATTCATATTGATAGTTACAATGAATGTAACTGGGCTAAATGTACAGATTTGGAAGGGCGCTCAGGGAAAACTATTCTTGGGCTACAGAGTTGGCACATGTTAACACGAACAACAGGGCAGGCAATATATAACAAGAGGGAGATTAGCAGAGGAAAGATGACGGTAGCAGGAGACACAGGGAGGAATGCAATGGTTAAAGTGAAAGAGGCTAATACTATTAACTGTTAGTGCATGGAGTGGATGGCAACCATGTAATGAAGCAAAGTATATGATTTGCTGAATGCAAGGCTGATGATCTGCTCTGTGAACCTTCACTCAATTCACAATAAAAAGTTGAAAAAAATTAAAAGTTAGAGAAACAGCACTGACAGATCCTTTTCCAAAGCAAAGGTCAAATAGATGTCATAGGGAAAGAAGTAGAGCCAGAAAAATGAAATGAAGTGGACAAGAAACAAAAGGAACAAAGGACATTTTTTTAAAAGGAGGAAAGGAGAGAAAACAGGAAGGAATTAAAACAAGCAAGGAGCCCTGGAGGTTAACATCAGAATACAGACACAATCTTTTAAAATCGTGTCATTTAAGAGAAGCAAGGTCCAAGATCTGGTCATGAGAACAAGTTGCTGAAACAGAATGAAGGTGTTGACCACTGAAATAGGAAAGCGATGAAGTACTAAGATATTAAGAGTGTT